TGGCGCATAAACAAATAGATCAACTAATCTATTAAACTCATACAAATATGAGAAAGACCAATTATGATCATCAAATTTCTCTGTGGCTAACTCTCATTGAGAAGTATGCGAACCGATGCAAAGAGACAAATCTATCTATTTTTAACCTCATAGAAGTGTGTCTTGTCCTTGAGATCAATTCGCATTTTACGAATTCGTAAAAAGAACGGTGAAATGATGTTAGAAGTATGCATTTTCAACCGCTAGATCAGTTCGTAATACAAATTCGCTAATTGCTAGTTACAAATTAATCTAGTTCTCAAAGCAGTGAACACTAAGTCGTAAACTAATTTTACTAATGATTTGCTAATTGATCAGCATCGTGCCGGATCTATTCTCATTTTCACGAATTCGCAAGATGAATTCGTAAAAGTTTTTGAGGGTATCCATGCAAATTCCATACACTTCGCATCAGTTCGCTGCGAATTCTCAAAATAAGCGTCAAATGCGAGTTGTTGCGTCAGTTTTACGCTTAAAAGTTGCGATTCGTCTTTAAACACATTGTCCACACATCTCAACTTGGACTTTAGAACAGCTATTGAGGATACAAGAATTTATTATTTGACAACCCGCTCGGAGAGAAAAAGTTGATCTCCTTGGTCAATTAAAACGTTTTAACCTGTTGGAAGGAGTAGCGAGCCCATGAATGCTTAAATCAGATATCAACCATCTACAGAACTTACGGAACGTTTTTTGATCACATCAATCAATAAAAGAGCTGCCTTTTCCATATCGGTCAACATTTTATTGAGCATAAACATAGTAACACCAAAGGATATGCCTGCAGCTACGAATGGTCCGATGAACGGAATAAATCGTAAAATTACTTCGGTTGTACTACCTACGGCTTGGCTTTCAAGTAACGACAACACCATTTTTGACAGATCAGTAAAAAAATAAACTGAAAATATTGTCTGAATTTGTTCTTCTAACTCTTTCAATGGAATACTGTGCAATGCTGCTATACTTTTCAACGATTTATCATCAAGAGCGAGTTGTTGTTTGTAATGAAGAACACACCTGATGAGTATTGTTTGATCACATACGAGTGCTAAACCGGGAACGGGAATGGCAGCAACTCCTGTATAAATTAGACATATAATCATACAGTGTAAATTTTACTTTCTACGACAAGTTTCAAAATTAAGTACCTGCACTGAGGGCAGCAGCCATCCATACTTGTGATCGCAGTTCGTTTACTTTTGCTTTCATTACTTCTAGGAGTCCAAGAAAAGAAGTTGGCTATAAGGTGCCGTTAATGCAAAAATCAAGTGAAAAAGCTTTTGAATGTTCAAACACATATTCTGAGTCATCGGACGCTGCTGATCACGAATCTGATCTTATTTTTTCGATTTGACCAAGTTTTCATGCGGAAAACCTAAAAATACCGTGACAGCGTCAAAAACCTCGAAAAAGTGATTTTTCTGAAAAATCCCGATTATCTCCTGATCTTTTCATTTTTCGATCTCACCGGTGTGATTTTTGGATTCAGCATCGTGAAGCACATCTGGGCACTTGTCATTCGATGACTTTTCTTCAAGTCTTAAACTCTTGTAGCTGATCAAACATTGATCACTCGAACCTTGTGGTTCTCAACACGCAATGCTTCTAGCACATCTCTTGGCTGAGATAAGACTATTTGACTTTCAGAGATTCGGCTGACCCGAAATCCTTTAAGAGATTTACCAATAACTCGGTCTAGAAAGACATTCATTTTACATTTTACATTTTTAAAGATCTTTTTTTACTTAGAACTCGATGCGCATTCACGTACGATGTCTCGCGACGATAATGGGTTTCCAAAGGGTTCTGAGAGATGTCCAGAGAGACGGTTTTCCAGTAAACCTCGTCATTACTGTGCGATCCTTCATGATTCATCGCATCTGAATGCGAATGACTCAGCCTATAAGGACACTGGAAAGCCCGGAAAGATCTCATTTTACTTAGAACTCGATGCGCATTCAGATGCGATGAATCATGGAGGATCGCACAGTAATGCATAACTAATGAGTTCAGAACTATGATATTGATGTAGAAAAAGCTTTTGAATGTTCAAACACATATTCTGAGTCATCGGACGCTGCTGATCACGAATCTGATCTTATTTTTTTCGATTTGACCGAGTTTTCATGCGGAAAACCTAAAAATACCGTGACAGCGTCAAAAACCTCGAAAAAGTGATTTTTCTGAAAAATCCCGATTATCTCCTGATCTTTTCATTTTTTCGATCTCACCGGTGTGATTTTTGGATTCAGCATCGTGAAGCACATCTGGGCACTTGTCATTCGATGACTTTTCTTCAAGTCTTAAACTCTTGTAGCTGATCAAGCACTGATCACTCGAACTTTGCGGTTCTCAACGCGCAATACTATAAGAGTTAGAGACTTCTTTCATACGCCCT